AGCTTACGCAACTCACACAAAAACGCTTATGTATAAATATACGAAATTTTCGCTTGTCCGCGCTATCGATATTGAAGTGCCAATAAATAAGGGTTTGGGATGGGTCAGCAACCTTTTCATTCATTATTCTTCGATTTCTTCTTCTTTATCTCATAAATCTATATTGATTTAAATGAGCAAAAAAAGTGAGAAATTGCACATAAAGACTAAAAAATGGTGTTCTTTAGATTCACTATTAGGGGTAGTAAAAAGGTTTTGAAAACTATATATAAAAAGAAAAGTTTCTTTAAATATTAAAAAATCTGAAGCAAAAAAAAATTATAAAAGGGGTGTTCAAAAATTAGGTTATGGAAAAATTTTCACTCAAAAATAGGCAAGATTTTGCGGACTATAATAAAGAAATGAAAAACTGTTTTTCGTTTTTTTTTAATTAGTTTTTTACCTCGCGCTGGCCTTATGAAGTTTTCAAAAAAGTTTTTTTTTCTATAAACTGCATAATATACCGGGGGAAAAATAAAAAAACTGCATGCTATTTTAATAAATGAATATTTATGTTATTTAAAAGACATATACTAAAAATTATCATTGTAGGTTCATATTCATGCTCCTGTAACCATTGTTGACACTTTTTACCGGTTGCAACCAATCAATCAATGAAATCCCGCAATCTAATTTATTGACCAATTTTACAAAAGCTGAATACATTTACATCTTCTATGAGAGGAAACTGAGCTGGTGTTTTCTGCTCAGCTTACTTGCGGTACGCAACTTTGGTCTTTGAAGAAAGCATGGTCCAGTTTTTTTTGAATTTGAGCAGCTTAAAAATATATAGTTTTAATGCATGAAATTTAGTAATTGTCACTTTATATTTAAACTTAATATTTATGTTTTGTTTGAATACCTGTAACGGAGCAATCCCTGGTTTCTCATTCGTCAGAAACCTGGGTGCATAGAAGATAGCAATAAACTTGCCCATCCTGGTAATGAGAAAGAATCCAGATCTATATGCTTTTGCATGTAATCTTAAAGACCGAGAATCTTCAGACAATAAATACCTTTTGCCATGAATCTGGCATAGTGCATAGCACCAGGTTTCTTGAATTTGCACTTATAGCTTGAATCCTATAAGACATAACTCTGCTAGCTCATGATAGTCATCTCACTTTTTACCAGTCTAAAATTGTATGGTGTTTTTATTGAATGTTTCCTAAATCTAGATACTATAACGCAATGAAAAAAATGCTACTAAAAATGATTATTTAGAGTTGTAATAAATGTCTGCTGACAATAAATTTAAACTAACCTCTGAATTTTCAAAAGCTTTGGTTTTTACCATATCCATAAGTAAGCTCTTTGCTTCAATGGCTTGAGCTTCTAGCCAAGTTCCACAAACAGATTTCCTTTCAAACCTATTCAGGTGACAATTTTCAGTATCAATCGAATGCCATTGTTTATGAAGCAATTAAAAAAGAGGTTTTTTAGGACCAAAAGTGGCCTTGCAACCAATAGCCTTTTCGAAATGATTGATGTGGACCTCTTCTACGTGGTGACGGCTGGCCAACATCAGAAAAGGGCTTGTCAAGATTAGATCTTAGTCTTAAAATATATAACATAGCATATAATATAAACATAGCATTCTTTCATTTTATACTTACAGCAGTTATATCATGATCAATATTTCTGTAGCTTTACATAATTGCTATAGTACTTTAAAAATTCAAACAACAAAGTTTAGCAATAAGATTTTAAAAATATATTCGTTTTTTTATTCACCTGTATATAGTATATATCCACGCAATTTGCCAGTATTGCTGTATATATCCACGCAATTTGCCAGTATTGCTGCTCATAGTATCAAAGGATATAGAGTGCACATTGTCGGTTATGTCTATCTCCTTCAAAAGATCACCGATTACATTAAACTGGTTTAGGCCAGTGCCAGATAAATGTATGCATACATGCCTGGTGCAACTAGCAGACAATATTTTCCGCAAAAACTTACAAGTACAAAGATCCTGTCTTTCACTTTGTCACAGTGCTCAGGTATTAAATCCTTTAACATTTTCCTATCCTTGTAGTTAATGGGATACTGTAATAACTTTTTTAACTTTTCAAAATCTTCATCAAGTATCATATTTTTCATTCTATATACACTTAAATATTAAAGAGGCAGCTTATCTGGATTACCTCTCCCTTCTATAACCCACTTTGTGAGAGTAACAGTGATTATATTAGCAGATATGTTGGCTCCCAGAGCTGTTCTCATTGTCTTATGTATGGTGTCTTTGCTATTGCCAATATGTTAAGATTGAGAATTTCATGTTTTTTTTGGCAGGACTAAGCTGATATTCATTGCCACTTGAATTAAGTGTGTTAAATAAATTTGAAATATTAAGTACTGAAACCTGAGCATCTACAATAAAAGGTATTGTATTAGTCACTCTATCCAGATCTCTCTTTTCCAGATCTCTCTTTTGTTTTTGATTTGAATAGTCAACTCTGGCTCTGTGTATCAAAGATCTGGCCTTTGCCCAGATCTTTAATACACATCTTGCGATCTGTTAAAATCTGTTAAAAAATCTGATCTCTGTTAAACGCAATTTATTTGCTTTGTCTTCCTTGAATATAAACTTATCCATCTTGATAGATTTAATAAGTATCTTGTGGTCAGTCCTTGCCCAAAATAGTCCTTTAAAAAGTAAAGCCAATTATGTTAGTTGATATAATAAAATAACAATTTATTTGTTGTTTATGATCGACTTTTTTTGGACTTGTGAGAGCTGGAACCACTACCACTGCCAACAGGCTCTAATTCTCTTTTTCTTGTTCTCATTTTTTAATTCTATTAACTACTTAAATGATTTATATTGAATATTTTACATAATTGTCATTTGGTTCAAAAAGCGTTTTTAAAAATACTATAACAACTATACAAAGAAAATTGCGAAGCAGCTAAACCACAGAAAAAAATTTCGCTTTTATATATTAAAATTCTTACAACTAAAACTTACAACTCTCTACAATAAAAAAACTCTCTACAAATCTTCTATTATTTCTAAATAAATCTTATCTATTTTTTAATTTTTTTATAACTTTAAGATTTCATTATTATTAGCCAGAAAACAGAAACGTGTTTAACAAAAAAAAAAACATAATTGCATCATTATTAAAAATGATGCACACATATTTTTTCTTGTTAAACACTTTTCTGTTTTCTTGCTAACACTGCTAAATCTCTTCCGATTCTTAATTCTTATTGGTTATTTCTAATAACGAGAAAATATAAATAAATTGAAATAACCAAAATTGATTGAGATAGGTCTTTTACAGAGATTGAATGACGTCGATCCCCCCCCCCCCTTTTTTTTTTTTTTTGATATGGTTAATCAAAAAACACTGCTGATTACTTTGTATCTATAAATTATTTGTGGTTGTCCATTAATTACGTCAACAATATAAGGCGGGGGGGGGGGGGGGATGAACTTTTTTGACAATTGTTGACAAGGGGGAGAGTAGGTCAATTAAAGTTGATGTCAACAATTTTTTTTTTGAGTTCATTGCTTAAATAGCGGAAAATTTGTAGCGTAGCTTCTTTGTATAAAGAAGGAGGGGGGGGGGGGGTAATCAATAATTGACGTAATTTCATACGGGGGTCTCTGGAAATTTAATAATTTGTTGACTAGGGGAAGAGGGGAGGAAAAAATTTCAAAAAATTTGTTGACGTAATTAACGGACAGCCCCTTTAGACATACGTAAAAAATCCGAGTTCTATCTTCATCAGAAGACCAACCGCCAGAAAAACCTGGATTTCATTGATTGATTAGTTGCAACCGGTAAAAAGTGTCAATAATGATTACAGGTCTGACGCAAAGTATGAAAATGAACCCACAATGATAATTCTTGGTATATGGTTTTTAAATAACATAAACATTCATTTGTTAAAATAGTATTCAGTTTTTCTTCCCGGTTTTTTTTGAAAATTTTATGAGGCCAGCGCGAGGTAAAAAAATAATAAAAAAAAAATAAAAAAAAAAGACGAAAAAACAGTTTTTCATTACTTTATTATTTATAGTCCGCAAAAAATTGCGTTTTTGTTACTGAAAATTTTTCCATGACCTAATTTTTGAATATCCCTAACATAAATACTTACGTACATACATACATACATACATACATACATACATACATACATACATACATACATACATACATACATACATACATACATACATACATACATACATACATACATACAGACATACATACATACATACATACATACATACATACATACATACATACATACATACATACATACATACATACATACATACATACATACATACATACATACATACATACATACATACATACATACATACATACACCCATACATACATACATACATACATACATACATACATACATACATACATACATACATACATACATACATACATACATACATACATACGTACATACGTACATACATACGCTTATATATACACATATACACACATACATCCATACACATACACACATACAAACATATACATATATATACACATACGCATACACACATATTAACCTACATACACATACACACACACATATATACGCATACACATACATATACCCGCGCATGCATACCCACATACACATTCAATTATTGTACAAGGATGGCAAAAAAGCTGCAGATAAATGTAAAGATTTTTTTATTTTTTTATTTTTTTTATTTGCCAGAATATGTACAAAGTAAATTTACATTGAATATATTACCGGCAGGACTTCTAGAAGATCACAGGATCTTATCATGAAGCCCTTAACAATCTATATAACAAAAAGAATACAATATTCTAATATTCTTCACAGTCTATATAATAAACAAAATAAAGTATAAATCAAAATAAATAAAAAAAAAAACAACTTAAATATTAAAAACAGATATAAATATTTTGTGTTAAAAAGATAATTTCTTTTACTTTCCGTTTAAAAGAAGA